CGTCAGAAACAGATATATAAGAAATTAAAAATAGACAAGGGGAAAGAAGAGCATTTCTCTTAATTTTGAAGCGACTGACTACTATTTATCTCTATTAGTGCTATATAGATCGTGATGACGAAACCAAAAAAGCATCAAGTTTATAATTCTTTCTGAATTAACATTACTTGAAATAGAAATTTGTAAAAATCCTGGCGCTTAGTTGACTGAAGGCTGTTAGTTGGAGTTTGTAATGGAGATGAATTAATTAAAATAGAAAGTGGATATAAAAAATGAATCACGACATTGATTGATTTCAAGATCGTGGAGAAGGGTTATCACGATTGAATGAAGACCCATAAGAATTACATATTACCACCCATCTTCTAAGACTTCTTTATTAACAGCTTTATTCGAGCGAATAAACCACCTTTCTTTTTCTTCTCAGTTACTTCGGTGCCGCCATTCTTCTCTGACTTCTCGCCCTTTTTCTCTGGTTTTGCCTTCTCTGCTTTCTTCGGCTTCCTTCTTTTCTTGGGGATACCGTCTGCAGGCTCCTCACCGAATGTTTTGATATCATTCACACATTCCATCCAATCCCTCATTTCCCTCAACTCCAACTTGATCTTCAGGAGATGGTTATAGCGTACAATATATTCCTTTCTGGATGCAGTCCATTCATCAGATCGTTGCTCGAATCCCTATAATTCACACTCGCGGGTTAGTAACTTTTTAAAAAATCTCTCAAATTCTCATATCTCGATGCTTCAACACGTAAATGTATATACGAAAACGGTGGTACAAAAGGAGCTGCGCCATTGTTCGGAAATTGCATAATGCCGCATATTAATGGAACCAGTTGAATTTAAAACACTTACGGGACTGGAATAAAACCATGGCTCCTCTCCATCCTGGATCTCCTCAATTTCACTCTCCGAAGCATGCGGATTCATCTGTTTATAGAGTTTGGCTAGACGCTCTCCGATCGCTGCCTTCGCAGTGTCTAGGACCTGCTTATAACGCAGGAATCCAGCCTCTGCCTCTGCACCGGCTGGTTTGGCCGCATTGACAGGATCTGGCTGCTTATCACCCTTATCCAACAGATGATCGAAGTGATCGATGAGCGGTTTGACTATGTCGCGTACTTCTTTCTCTAGAGGGTCGATTTTTTGTTGGATTTCGTCGATTTCGGCCTCTTCAGTTTTGTCGTATGTTTGTTGGTACAGCTTGGTGATCTCTGTCCCCTTGTCATCGATAGTCTTGACGATTTGAGCATGATCGGGGGCTTCCGCGGCCTAGTAGTAATCAAGTATCAGCATAATTTTACAAAGGTACAAAAGAGTTTCAGAACAGCCAAGTATATGACTTACCATCTTGTACTATAGAAATTCTGCAGTAGCGAAAGTAGTTTTCTGTGCGGCCATAGATCTGTTGATGTTCTGGGGGGGGTTGAAAAGATCCCTGAAGAGCTGTGCCCTATCAACTTCGTTTAAAGTATATATGTGTATCTATGAAGGTATATACCATCGAAAAAAGAGAGAGAGAAATAGCATACCTATTGTATAAATGTAAATTGCCCCAGTCACCGAATTGGCACACTAAGTTATATGCTTCCGTTTACGCATGGTTTCGCTGCACCAAGCTTCAGATTACCCGATTGGGCCGCCAAGGTGGTATTCCGACCAATCCACAATCAGCAACGCGGGATGATTCAGGAAAGCCCAGCCAAACTCGAGATCCTGACGGCGACCTCTGGCGGAGACAAATTGGAGGAGGGGCATGCGACCTTTCATCGAATGGCGGACGATCAGCCATCTTGTTGAGCGACCGTAGACTCGTGGGATCTCGAAACGGTAACATGTAATCGATGGAGAATGCCTTCGCTGCCCTGATACCCCACCTTTTGCAGCCACCTTGCCGGAGGGCCTGCAGGGGAAGAATGTCGAATACGTCCTACTGGTACCTTGACCCACATGCCTTCCGGGAGCTGACGGCATGGAACACGATGTCGACAACCACTTGCCGAAGGATATCTTGCAAATAAGCGTTCCTGCAAGGGACCATCAGCTCCACTGTCGAAGAAAGAACTCTCCCGTCAAACGTACCAGAAGATTCTAGTTCCTGACGATATACGCGATATATCGATAGATACACTACCAAATTTAATCACTTCAGTGCCTTGCGGCGCGTCCATCGTCGCAATATTACTATATTCAGAGACCCACTCCATAACTGATAGCACTATATAATTCTTAGCGCACCAGAAAGAGGTTCCGAATGGAATCATTCTAGATTCATCTTTATAACCTTTGGCGTCTTCAAGCCTTGTGCTTCATTGAATATTAGATGGCTGGGTAGAATCTGCTTTAAAGATACCGTTTATTACGACAAGATTACGACGAACTGCTGGCGCACGGAACACTTGATACTAATGCACGAGGGTTATGTTTATGCAAATCATCCTCAGGTAAGTGCCATTACTTCAGCCTTTTAGATAAGGATTTAGTATCCTTGCGTACTTTAAATCGACCCGTGTTGTAAAAATGTTCCGGTTTCACCAAGTGTTTGAATCTTCTCAAATCCTTTGAGAAACGGGGAAGACTGAACATCAGATGACACCCGAAAATCTCGAGGCAGGTCAAACTCTAATGGTGACCAAAAAATGAGAGAATTGCGGATGGTTCAGTTCAAAGCGGATAAAATTAGACGACTATGCAGCCGAATATGGTTTCCGCAAGCCTCTTGAGACATTTCACTATATAAATATTTCCGTATACGTCGAACAAATACAACGTCTAGATCTGCTCGTTATACTCATATATTGGTTCACTATTATAGATTACCAGTTGTAGTATCTTTTGCCTCTTGTTTCCTCGCTTGAACTCAAGCGACATTGCCGACGAGTGGTCCTAGGAGCTGTCATATCTTTAAGCTTGTTGCAATTGTTTTCCCATGTCTACCCCACCTATGCAATATCATAAACAACTATATACAGCTATAATATCTAAATGTTACATTTTTGATCCATAACTTACTCACTATATTCACCTACGCGGTTTGACTTTGCCGTCGATGACTCAAGATGGATAGAAATAGCCCTGGTCTATCGTTGATAGAGAAGAAATGAGAGAAGGGATGGCAGATGTTTCCAAATCGGCGGAGCCCGGTTGCGTCACGTGCCAGGAAGCTGCACTTCCACTAGGTTTACGAAATGGAGCGCTAGAAGGTATATTATTTCGATATTTTTGAGTTAATTTTGTGTCCTTATACCAACCTCGAAATGAAAGATAATAGACAATCTCGCGACCAGTGGTACAATGCCCTTCATCTCATTCTCTTACAAAATCGAGACTAGTTTACGTTATTGCAGTTACTTTTAACATGCATGATTCATAAAACCAGAGTTCTGTAATCTAAACCATGGGCAACGAATTTTCTATTGTTAACAAATGGGGGTCTATTCTCTCGCAAACCAGAAGCTCAGCGGTACTCTATCCATGTATCCCAACAATGTAACTTCTCATACTACGCACCCTCTCACCATTAATACTCATATTGTATCGACCGTCTATCCTAAGAGATCTCCCAAACAATCCAAATACACATCCGGACCGTCACCGGTCTCACCGGCCTCCAAAATCTCCTTCTCCGTGCTCACACCCGTCAAAACTGCCAAAGTTCCCTTCAACCCACCCTGGATCCCAAATTGAATATCCGTATTCAACCGATCACCGACCATACAGGCCCTCTCTTTATCCAACTTGTACTTACTCTCAATACTATCCATCATGGCCAAACTCGGCTTCCCAAAGGCGACAGGCGTGCGACCGGTCATAAGCGTCAACGGCGCCGCACAGCTTCCAGCACCAGGTAATAACCTCCCGGGCATGGGAAAGGTAGAGTCCACATTCGTCGCGAAGAAATGTACGTTGGGGTCTTGGAGGTATCCAAACGCCATGGCGAGCTTGGCATAGCTCAGTTTACGGTCCAGCCCTGTAACGACAGCCCATACCGTCGGGTCTGGACCGCAGTGTTCTGCCACATCTTCGTCCGGGAATCCGAGGGGTTGAGAGCCCCCGAAGTGTGGGATACCCTCCGCGTCGAATTCTTCTTCGATGCCGGCTTCGGCGATGAGAAAGACTCGTTTTCCCTCGGGTATTTTGTGGACGCGAGAGATGGCTACGGCGGTAGAGTAAGCTGAGCCGAAGATTTCGTCGACAGTGACGGGGATGCCGAATTTGGCGAAGGTTTTGCTATATGTTTCACGGGATTTGGTGGAGTTGTTGGTTACAAAGACGAGTTTTTTGCCTGGTAGCTGTGAGTACGTGTATAAGAGATGTAAGGTTTGGATGCATGGATGGAGGTACCTCTACTCCGAAGCATTTCTAGGGTTTCAACGACTTTTGGGAGGAGGACACTACCCCGCCAGAGTACCCCATCGCAGTCGAATAAGAAAGTCTAACATTTGTTAGGATATTCACGTTTTGAGTATCCAAGACGGTAGTATATGTGACTTACATCGAATTGGTCGATGAATGCATCTATTTCTTGCTTCTTCCCGGTTAACTTTCGCGGGGGAGCGCGGGACGGAGGTGCCGTTTCCGATGCCATTGTGGTATATATTTAGATACTATGGAGAGTGACAAGTTGGAAGATTTGGCTAGAGCGGAGATATATGTGTGAAACTCGTCAGGATGAAGTAATATTTATATACCGGGGTGGGATGTATTGAGAAATAGACCGTGTTGAAAATGTTGGGAATCGGCATGCACGATCGACCCATCGGATGCGGACGCAGCGCTTTCGGAGCATCCATAATTTGTGTCTTAGATAAGCAGATCAAACGGGCCATCATCACAGAAGGACACGGAATTCCAATTTGTGTAGATTGAGAATTGGTAGAAGTTGCTGCTAAAGCGTCAATATAAGACTGGTTGATAGATTGAATACCACAGATGCCAGTGGGATGAGTATGCGATAACGTCTATAGGTGCCAAACGGAGAAGGGCTTCCAAGAAATTGGGATTGTAGTTCAGGGGTAGAACGTTTCTTTCGCACTCCCAGAAGACGGTCTCTGATCAGCTTCGAGTCGAAACGACACTAGAAAAGGTCCCCGGTTCAATTCCGGGCAATTCCACTCTCTCTTTTTGCATTTTTTTATTTCTCTTCTTTGACCTTCCGAGTCGAGACATCCTTTTTGAACCGAAGGTCTGGTCTACAAACGAACGAACAAAGTGTGTTGTGTGTGCTCTTATGTATCATCCTTGTATCGATACTTCAGTGTGAATTCGAAGATGGAAAACCCGGGTAATCTCTTAGCAAAATGTTGCTATATGAATGTATATTTTTAATCTTACTATATGCCCGATCAAATATCAAAGCAAGACCGTGAGCCGTTCGCTGAACTTCACAACCACAAGATACCTTTAGGCCGAGCTTATTTATCATACCGAGACTATCATATGACGAAGTAGACTTCTATATATATTTGAATCTTCTGTCTATCTAATATTGAGCAAGCTTGGACTGCGATAAGGTCAAGTTTGTAGACAATAATATGTACACTTCGAAATCAGGCCCCGTACATCTCAATCTCTCCCGGCCCTTCGTCTCCATCCTCAGCTGGAGGTACCCTCCTAGACGCCCGTCTACCATCTATTCTCTCAAGCACGTCAAGCACTCCCTCCAAAACCTCACCAGCATCAAATTCTACCCTAACACCATCTGTTCCGTCTCCAAGCCTATACCTCGCCGCCGTCTTCCCTTCACCATCATCCCAAAACGCATCTTCCCCCCTCACACCTCCCAAATTCACAATCCCAACCTTCTTCCCCTTGTCCTTCGCCCTCTTCACCAATCTCCAAGCGGAATACGTCGCTAAACTGCTCCCCAAAACCAACACCGCATCCGCCTCATCCACCCTCACTTCTGCCTCCTTCTTCACTTCGTCCCTCAAACTCTCACCGAAGAAAACAAGCGTAGGTTTCAAAACACCAGGCACGTTCGCATCCCCTTCAATCTTCTCCACGGCTCCATCTCTATCTAGCCTGATTTCACCTCTGTAATCCGGATTCTTCAAACACTTCTGACAAGGAGGGTATCTGAACTTTTCGTACTGCACGCCTGGAACGTCGATATCTCCATCCGGATTACGTTTTACCTTCAAATCAGGGTTTGAGCGCATCAGGTCCAGATATTTCGACCATGTCGGGTTCAAACGGTGTAATTCTCGTTGAAAGGGTGCTCGCTCGGATTGAGTACGGCAGGTGAGGCATAGCAATGTCGATAGTAAACCGTGGAGGTTCGTAATCGGCATGGAAGGGTGTGAAGCCGTGTGCAGTGAATCTACATCTACATTCCAATCAAATTAGTCTCGTGCTAACCTCTTCTAACTCTCTACATCTAATATAATAAAGTGAGAATAATGTCATATGTGCATACTTTGCGTGATAACCCCACCGACCCATCCCCCCTCCCACAACCTCCCAACACCCACATGCGCCTTATTAGGCCTAACCCGCTCCACACCCCTCCACCCCAAAAAACTCCTCGCCCAGTACCGTCGCCTCATGGCATCTTGATGCACGAAATCGCCATAAAATATCGGTCGATACTCTTTATTCAAGGTATAAGTTCCCTGCGGACCTCGATAGTCTGGTAATCCCGATGCGACGGATATGCCAGCGCCGGAGAGGACGAGGGTGGAACGGGAGTTGAGGAGAAAATTGGAGACGGCGTTTATGGCTGTTGGGAGGGTAGTCGCTGTGGATGGGATGGCGGGGAAGGAGGGGAGAGGGGTCGTGTAAGGGATACGGAGGAGCATTGGAGTGGCATTATTTCTTCTTCTTCGGCGGGCGTGTTCATGTCATTGCTTTTATACAGGATCGTGGTAATTGGAGGTGAAGTGAAGTGGTAGCCCTGGGACTGGGGTGACGTTGTGACTGGGGTGGTTTGATTCAAGAATGATCTGATTCGCGAATTGTGGTCTGTTGTATTATACATTAGCGGTAGTGTGTTGCCATGTCGTCGACGTCACGACTTTAAGACCACTTTGAGATGGATTTGTTGATTCAATGTATGAATTGCTCAGAGGATAATAGGTAATAATTATTAAATAAGAAGTGTCTGAGATGCGAGGTAAATGTTTCTCAATCTAGAAAAGGAAATCTGCTTGTTCAGAATAGACAATCTCGTAATACGCCCAAGTCCACCGATAGGCACCGTGAACGCCAAAGAAGAGCATCATGGTAAAGAAAGACAAATATTAGAAACATCATGTACCGAAATCCTTAGCAATCCAGCGCCTGAGATCCCAGAAAAGACGAGTGAAAGAAAGAGAGAGAGAGAGAGAGAGAGAGAGAGAGAGAGAGAGAGAGAGAGAGAGAGAGATGAACATTTCACCACAAATTTATCATGTAAATTCAAATGCAAGTCTTTAGCAAACCTCCTTTGCCATTCCACCTCGCTCAACCGCCATCCAATTCTCATCCTGTTGCTCACTAAGCTCAGACCAACGATCGCTTTCATCGGCATCGGTAGATGTGGCACTCATAGTACCAAAATCTTCCGCAACACTCTCGCCCATGCCAGTAGAGATATATGATTGTGAGATATCGGAATGACTGACACCAAGTCCCCCACCAACGTTGCTTCCGCTAGGGCGACTCTTCTCAGCCGCTGGAGTGCCATCTGTAGATTTTGAGAGGCTGTATGTAGACAAGTTGACAGCTGATCCCTTCTTCGGCGTAACCGGTTCGAGAATCGGCGAGGATGGAATGGAAACAGAATCCAAATCTCCGTTGACTAGCAAAGTGATAGTATCATCCGCTCCGTCAAGGTTCAAAGGTCTCTTGCCGTTCCCTCTGATTGTGGCCTTTCCCATATTCTCTTTCATATACTCGTTTGCTTCGTCCAAAGAGATTGCTTCCGTCGATTTGAGCAAGTCCTCATACTTCTGATCCAACGTCTCTTTAACTGGTGCGAGGAGTTTGACACGAGGCCCATGCAACGGATTTCCCTTGTAAGTCTGAATAAACTCCAAAGTAACGACAGCCCAGTCTACACTCAGCGAATTCTTCCAAGCCCACTCGCTGCGGGGAACAGTTTGTTCCAACCTTTTTTCGAGCGAAACTCCGGGCTGTGAGACTGGTAAATTTTCCTCCTCTTCCACTTCATCATCTGGATCCTTCTTATAAACCAAGTTTTCGACAACTCTATCCTCCCCGTTCGCTCCCTTTTCGACCATCTTGATAACCTCCGCTCCCTTTCTCGATCTCTCCCTCTCCCTCTCTTTCTCTCTCATTCCAAAGTCGCTTCGACGGGGGGTATCACGTCTCCATTTCAACGTCAACATGTCGATGAGAGCTTCGGAACCCTTCTCCAATCTTTCAGCTTTGGAGACTTTAACCCAGGATTTAAATTTGAAATACTTATACTCCCCCTTTTCTTCTTCAAAGAGTGGAATCTCCAGATCCCGCAGGAGAGGGTTCATCTCGCTTCCTTGAGCTGCATCTTTAAACAGAAGGTCAAGATTGGACTTGACAAAGATCTTAGAAGGGTATTGCGGGTGTTGGTTGAGGAAGATGAGAATATATGCTATCTCTCTGTGGTTGTTGATGGACGGGTTTACGGTTCCGCCGTGGAGGAGGCCAAAGTGCTGGGAGACTTCGGAAGCCGTGAAGAGTTTTTGGTCGAGAGGGTGGGAGACGTTCGATGGGGGTGGTGCCGGGACTGGTTGTTTACATCGCAGGTGTGGTGGGATATACGCTGATGGTGAGGGCTCCGTTGCAGAGAGCGGTTCCGATGTGTTGGATGTGATGATGGTAGAAGATGTGGTAGCAGCTGAGTCGGACATTTTTCCCAGAATATTATAATTTCGGTACAGAGGAGGTAAAGAGAGTGAAGTTGCAGAAAGGAAGGAAGAAGATAAAGAGGAAGAAGGATGTCAAGGTAGCCAGGGTTGGGGGGGTCTGGATATGGTGGACTCCAGATACGGGTACGATGCAGCCAAGCTGTTGTTGTTGATATGACGATGAGTCCCCCAGTCGAATCGATTGGCTAATATCATCAATCCGTCCAAACCATCACGGGCGACGGACAGGCCTTGCGGTTCAAGCTTGGATCGCTTATCAAACGATGCCTGCAGCTAACTGCTGAACCAAACTAGTGCGACATCCCAACATTAGAATAGCGACAATCTTTGTTGGGTAGCCGATAATATTGTTTCGGATGCTGAGTAGTATCAACACCTCGTAATGTTGCATTTTTGCTACTATCGGGTGTATATATCATTGCATTATCTCGTCATCCATATTCTCTTCGTATATAAATATAAATACAAGTACTTGTCCATCACATTATACAACCTCGGCATCTGTTTTCAGATCACTTGGCTGTAGCTCCTTCACAGCAAGAAATATTCTTTTTACTCTCGCTTCCCAAAATTCCTGGCCCCCCCAAGTAGCACTATCAAACATTTGGTCATTCTTCCCATATATCCAACCTTTAGTTTTAGAGCCTTCGTACCCTATTAACGTCTGAGAGAGACCGGAATCCAAAATTTCGAAATTTTGTTTCTCATTATGAGTGAAAGCGAACGCTAGGAACCAGAGGCCAGCAAGAACCGACCGCCGCCCGAGGTGATACGCGGTCTTCCAGATTCGAAGCCACTGCTTGTCCATCTGGAATAGAACCGCGGCCAGCCACGTTAGAAGACCGAAGATGATGGCCAGTATGAAAAACACCCATAGAGGAACGGTCCCCTGTCCGAAAATCGACATGTTCATACCCAGCATAGCACAAACAAAGTTGAGCGGAAGGTACAAGAACGCCACAAACGAGAGCTTCCCGAGACTAACCGCTGTAGACGTCGACTCCTTAGCCTCTTTCAATTGCTCGCCCGTCAATTCGGCGGTTACGCCTGCACGAAATTCGTTAGTATACCACTCGTATATCCTTACGCTGTGACCGTACAGCGACAAAAGTTTATCAATATCGGCCAGCAACCACCTAAGCCTTCTTCGTTGTATTTCTCTGCCAATATTCGCATTGTTGTATACTGTGGCACCCATGGTTGAAGTATCATCTAAGAGACCAAGATACCCGGCTATTTCATTCTTCATTCTGATCAATTCGACT